AAAAACACCGGCCTTGACTCAGGCCAAAATATCATGACCAATTAGATCCCAAGATGCTGGTAATAAGAATATTTTTGGCTCAGCGATGGAGGAACGATCCCCAGGGTTTGTGAGTTGATAATGCTGTGACCTTGTGATTTTGAACCGAGAAATGCACAGGATCTCCTGAACAAAAACATACAATCACAGGCCTGGGCTGACCGGCCCTGCCAATGACAGTTGATTAAAGGTTTCCAAATGCTCTGGAGACCTATTGCAAACCACTGGATCCCATACAAATTTTGAAAATGCATTCCCCTAAAACTCTCTCGGGACTTTTGTACAAAAAGGATCGTTACGTTTTAGATAATCTTTCTCTGTCAAGATATTAAGTGTCCCCTCCTTTGTTGTTTGTAATTCGTAAACGATGATAATTAAGACGCAAAGTTTTAGGCGACGTTAAAATCAACAAGTTGCACAAATTAACAAGCGGCGAGTAATTTGCTTTGAAAGCAAGGCGATCTGTATACCGATAAGCTTCTGAAAACAAAACCACCATACTAAATGAGTCGCTATCAAATGAAATTGGCTGTGAAATGCAGGAGGCTGTGATGATATCGGGCCCAGTACGGACACCTCCAACTTGTGTTCCTTGTTACCAACCGTTCAATTATACTCCACACTTTGACTTCAAATAAAAAAAAACACATGTGATTGACCGTACAATGCGTGCGAGTATTTATGAAAAATCCTATCAAACAATCGCGAGAATGTTCGGTGTCAGTCTGCTACCCTGAACCCACTACTCAGGCCGTCACGTGGTTGAGCAAGGCGCAAGTCACATGACGATACTTTTTTTTACAAATTATAATCACAGCTTTTAAACATTTTTATCATGAGGAATCGCAAATATGCGGTGTGTGTATATGTATACACACACATGTGCATTCATGCAACCATATGTACATATATATGGCAACAGATAACCACTTTGTGGGGAAGTCGACAGTGGGTTGTTCGTTAACGACGATTCCCAAATGAGGCATAAGTGACAACATGTGTCGTTGCAATGTGCACGCAATTTACACGCGTGTTAATTAGAGGTTAATGATTCGGCGTGCATTTGGCTGGGTGCGCTTAGTGGTGGAAGAGCGAGTGAGCGGCTCAGTCCATCGTCCCTCGAGGGTCGATAAAAGTAGAACCACTTTGTGGAAAAGTCAACGGGTGGGATGTCCTGTGTTGTCGCCTAAACCCCTGCCATAGGAAGGTGGAATTTCCACCACTGCCTCAGGGCTGTGAATAGAAGATGAGACCCACCCTCAATGTTCGTTTTGGGCAGCGAATTCTCTTTTGACTGCACGGATACGTGCACGCGCACGTAGGATGCACACGTAAATAAATGGAACGCCTTAAATGTATCGCTTTTCTTTTCTTCTATCGTGGTCGGGGGAAAAAAGAACCTTCACGTAATTGTGACTTTTAACAGAAGCCAACGATTTTAGACACACGGCTCTGCACAGCAGGTACATCAAATTTACATTTCCAAGGCATTTTTTGGTGTTGAGCTTCTAAGAACTCGTGGCTACTGAAACACAGAGGTAGGTACTCTTTTCTTTATACATTGTTTTACCCGTACACGGCAAATGGAGGTGTGGACAGTGTGACTTAAGCCTCTGAGAACAATGTGGGCGATTTTCGATTTTGGCGTGTTGGGAGGCTTCCGCGGAGTGGCCTATGTGCCAGCTAATGATGGGCCACATTTGTGAGCCAAGTGTATTAATTATGGGGTGGAGAAAGACGGTCCCCATACAGCGAATCCCAGGGAACCTTCGCCTGCCGGCACACGGCAGGGACACGGGCGCTTTGCAACGAAACTTGCTGCGTAATGAGCCAAACTACATACGCTAAAAAAAAAGAATTTCTGTACGTATATATATGCGCGCACACACACGCGCACGCGCTTGTCCTTCATTAGCGGCATTAAAGATGGGAACGTACGATAAAACTGACCACTGTGGGGGCACCTTTAAATATTGCACGCGTTGAAGAGCGAAGAGCGTATTTCTTAAATGAATAAAAATTGTGCTTATCTGCTTACGTTTTGCCAAATTGCATTTGTTTGCATTAAATGTGTTTTCCCTTCTGAGTCCTTTTTAGAAAGAATTTGAAACGCGTTGACAATTTAGGCAGGGGTAATATATGCCCGTATGCATGTTCGAATTTACACATTTGGTTTTGTGACCGATATTTTAATGATTTTCTAGCAAACATTTAAAATAGCCCGATTCATATCTGTAATAAACATAGACTAGCTTACACAGGAATATTTCAACAAAATAGTATTCGATTAATATAATTGAGATCGATTAAATGTAATGGTTTATGGTTAGCAACACGTTAAAGCGCGTCATGTAAAATAAGGAATAATTTAAATACAGTCAATATTCTGCGACGTATACCACGCTACAATAAATAATTCCGGCGAAAAAATGTTAACAGCGTTCATTACAAAAGAAAAAAATAACCTCAAAATAAAACCATTCACGCCGAATTAAGCGCCCTTAATTGATCCAGATGCCAATCGCAATTTTTCAACAAAAATTGTCACGAAAAAAACCCCGATGCACTCGCGCAAAACGCCAAAAAAAAATCCGCTTCGAAAGTTACCAAAACATCTGTTTTCTTTCTCTCTCTCGTTTCGCCACCGTACCGCTCCGAATCAGAAAACACTTTCGGCGAGGCGGAACGATTACCTGCACGAGTACGCACGTGAGCAGCGGCAGCAGCAGCAGCAGTAGCGGCAGCAGCAGGGAGGAGGGAAGAAGGGAAGAGCTCCGTCAGCCTTGGGAACGCGCCGCAGTTCTCGTTACCCACCAGGTCAGGCTCAGCGACATTTCACTCAACAACAACAACAAAAACAACAAAAAACTCCACGGCCATCGGCGGCTGCGTCTGCGGCGGCTGTGGTAGCTGCTGCTGCTGCAGCGGCTCCAGACGGCGGCTGCTGAACCCTGAGAGAGATCGCTTCCTCGGCGATCTGCCGACGCGACACGCTCATCACATCTGGCCCATTAGCAGCAAGCAAGCGCACGCCACCGCCGCCGCCGCCGTAACCCCCCCCCCCCGCTCCACAATTAGCCCATCTCTTTAAATGGTGCTCTATGTGTTTCTTTAATTATTTAGCGAGAACAAATTTTTGGTTCCCATTTAATTATTATATTATTTCGTTTCTCTCCAGATTTTTACTCGCACTCCCCACTCCCCCCCCCCCAGTTTTTTTGTATTTCCTCTTCTTCCGTAACCCCCACTCGCGCCCGTCCGTCCGTCCGGACGTGCCCCGCTAATTCGCTCGCTCTCCTCCCCTTACCCCGGGGCTTGCCCCAGCAGCCCCGTGTGCCGCGGGCGAACGCGACGACGACGGCGAGGAGGAGGATAAGTTTTCCGCGCGCGCCGACGCGAGGTGAGCCTCGCCTCGCCACCCGAACTGCAGCGTTGGCGAAATAGTAGCGCAAAGATGGAAATTTATCGCACGCACACATTGAACGCGGGCGTCGTCCTCGGGTTTGTCAAAAAAAAAAAGCCATGACTAGGCAAATGAGAATGAAACAATTACTGTACGAGCAGCCGCGCCGTATAAATCCTGCCCGACTTTGTGCGGTGGGCGACAGCGTTGATTATTTTTTATGCATCATGAGCTGGAAATGACCTTCATGGCTTACTCAACCGCCCCAGAAGATCGCCTGTCCGACACCCGTGCCTCGCACCCCTCTGACTGACTCGGCTCAAGACTGACTAAACTGGTTTTGCAAAGGGGGGGAAAAAAACCCCTAACAACGCGCAGTCAATTCTGATGAAAAACTCTGCAACAATAGACCAGAGGGCTTCTTTTTAGAACAAAAAAAAAATGTTAAACAAACCAGGCCCTTGAAAAGCAATACTTACAGACGCACACGTAAAATAAAAATCTACAAGCGTATATTTAAAGACTCCCATCTTTGGCGGAATTAATGGATAACAAAACAAACATTGCATCTACACGTCTGAGTTTTGTGAGGTTCATAACCTGACGTTGACTGCATTTGGGAGAGGCTCTGAGCATTTTATTTATCTGATTGGGAACACTTAACACCCCATGCGCCCGGACGAAATGCAGGCTATTGTGCGGGAAGTCCGTTACTAGATCCACTATCCCACAAGAGACATTTGAACCCTTTCTATACAACAAGTGCTACCCTGCCTGAACAGAACGCGTCTTGTGCAACACCGTATGACACCAATAAATCAAGACAATGCACTGCGCAGGGCATTGCATGACGTGGAGCTGAAACTATTGTGACCAGAATTTACACTCGGGCTGGTTTCAGTGCAAAATATTTCTTTTTTGTTTTGGCTCACACAAAAAAAAAGCCAACAAAACATACAAACGAGGCACCCTAAATCATTCCTATTATGGATTACCGCAATTAAAACTATATTCAGTAAATTATCGCCATTAATAACAATAATCAGGACGGAAACCTACCACCATCCAAACATTTCAGATTTCATAGCATTTAAGAAATCATAACACTTAAGATTTCGTTTTTTGTTGTTATTGTTAGAACTCGCCAAAAAACGCTTACACGCAACTCCACAAAAGCCCCTCCGCTGTCTCCCCCCCTCCTCCTGCTTCCCCACCACCACCACCACCAACCTTAAAAAAAAAACTTTTTAAGCCCGTCCAGACAATCTACTCTCTCCCGTCGGAACGACCGTCACAAAAGCCCCCTCCCCCCCACCGCCACCGCCACACATTTACTCTGAAAGGGGCTCTCAATCAATCAGAAAAGTTCGCAGGCTGGCCCAACGACCACCAACCCCACCAACTCCACCACCACCACCTCCCCAACACCATCGCAGCAACAGCAGCAGCGGTAGCAGCAGAGCGCCCGATCCGTGCTGGGTGCGACCACCACAACTTCCCGCACAGCACCAGCAGAGTAATTGCAATCGGGCGAGAGGCAATGAAATTATCTCCTTACCTCCGGTCAGTCTGGTACCCAGACAGGAACCAGCATGGGTCGGCGTCATACAAACTTTGCTCTGTTGGTCTCACTCGCTCTCTCAACTCTCCACTGACTCGTCGCTCGCTCCACTCCCCTGCGGTGTTTTATTCTTTCGCTCCTCTCTACTTTACGTATGTATTTTTTGTTAAACTATCACGCACAACATTTACCACCTATTTGAGAAGTTCTATTTTGAACGTATTACTTTCTGTTGCCGTCACCACGTTTCCATTTGAAACGGCAGCCTTCTTGCCCGAGACGAGCTAAGAACACCCGCGGTCGTCTCCTGCGCCTTGACAGTGAGTGGCTGGCTACAGTGTTACGTGCGCCGAGCTATTTTGTGCTCTTATTTACTCTGCAGTTGGTCCACCCTTGCCCTTGCTGGTCTGCGATTTTTTTTCTCTCTCTCTCTCTCCCCCCTCCCTCTCTTTCCCCTCCTCCACTCTACTCCAACCCCACCCTCACCTCCTGTATTCTATCCACTTTATTTATTATTTGCTCGCTAGCTAAACTCGCTGCTTAGCTAGCTCGCTCGCTCCATCACCTACTTATTTTACGAAGTATTATTATTTTTTATTCCCTCCTTTTCTCTCGTGCGCGCGAGTGCCTGCGCGCGCGCTCGCTGCTGAGGCTCTCCGTAATTAAAGCAAATCGCGCGGTCCGTGTGACTTGTGTTGCTGGTGGGGGGGGGGGGGGTGCGTCTTTTGGCAAGGGAACACAAAATGCAGCCGAGCCCCCCACCTCGCCCCCCCCCACCCCCCCTTCTTGATCGTGGGTGCAAGGTTTGTCTCCAAAAGTAAAGAGAGAGGCGCGCGCAAGCAGGAGAGTGGCAAAGTTGTGGGGAGTTTCCCAACAGGATTACCGTAATGCACCGTGCACGAGGCGCCGTCTGAATTCTTTTCGCATCTTGACCCCACGTAAACCCGAGCTCGCCAGCCGAGCAGACACAGCGAGAGAAAAAAAAGTAAAGAAAAACAGGTTTTTTATTTTTCATTTCTCTCCTTCCACCACCACCACCACCCCTTCTCCTCTCCTCTAAAGGAAATAAACAGCAAGTTTGTTCGGCTTCTCTCTTATTTTTTTAAAGCCGATGCGTACGACTATTTTGTTAACATCTTACGAGGGAGAAATTATTTTTTTTGATCCAATGACAAACACGATCAAGCCGCGCGGACGAAACTAAAGTGAGTATATTCGTTAAGGTTACAGCTGCGAGGTTAATTTTACGTAACGCGTCACATGTGCGAATGATCGCTCAAAGTCCACGCTTCAACGTTTTTGTAAACTGTTCCTTTTTTTGGTATTTACTTAGATAAATAAATAAGCAAGAGAGGCGAGGGCTTAACTACTAGCACAAATGTGGTCATGTAAACAATGCATAGTTGCATTGAAATGGAAAAAATGGTGGTTTGATTTTTTTTCCCCCCACAAGTCTTTGTTGGATTCCCTTTCAGCCCGCAGATGTTTTACGAAGTACAGCTTGATTAAAAGAAAACATTATATATAATATAATGAAGCTAATTTGGTCGTGTATTGTGTTACCTGCTACGAGGCGGTTCAAAAACAACGTTTGGAAACAAAAGCTGAAAAAATTACACGCTGGAGCCGAGGGGGGGGGAACACTGTCAGGGCAATCGGCGTAACGTAATAAATCCGTTGCAGGTGTAGTTACTTGTTATAAATAAATCAAGCTGCTGATAAAAGCTGTGCATTAGCAGGTTCAAAGTGAAGTCTGGAAAAACTCACGGGCTCATTCGAGCCGTTGCAACAGCAGTCGCAACAGAAACAAAAATGATATCGCACAGTCGTTTTTTTTAGCTCTGCGGAGTTTAAAACCGGAGCTTGGGGATTGCGTTTTCAGTGAAAGGTTCTGTGTTTTCTGTTGTTTTCTTCGCATCCCTTTGATTTCTCCTCCCACAATCCCCCTTCCCCCCAACCACCACCACCACCACCATTCCACTCCTTTCTCCGCCGCAACAAAGCTGACAGATTAATACAGCGAGCGGGGGATGCCCGCTGGCTCTGGGTGTTCAGCCCGAATTTGACAGGTCAGGATTTTTGATGTGCACATTTGGCCCTCGCCAATGCACTTCATGAGATTGGTACTTTGTAAAATGGATAGATACCGGCTTGCCACTTTTACACCAGGATAAAAAAAAATGTAAGTTAGCTTTACGAGAGAGAAAAAAAACATACACACGCCTTGTGTGATTTCACCTGCCTACAAACGGGCCACCCCGGCAGTTAGAAATGCAAACACAACCAATCAATTAATTAAATGCCTAATGTATTGTTTCAAAACATGAGCTTCCTTCATAAAAAAAATTCCCATTTCTTATGTTTTGCTTATAATCACAAGTGTGAACTTCTGCAAGCCAAGTTTCAACATCAAATCGCAAAGGTATTGAATCCAATCACATCTAATCAGAGAAAAAACTAAGACTATTCAAAGTATCCTTTTAAAACTGGTTTATTAGTTTACCACGCGAAAGAAACACAATGCAACATGTTATTGAGCAGATATGCCGTGTGAAATGATACATTGAACCCAGACACTTTGTTGAGAGAACAAAGCATGTCAACATTCCTGAGTGGCCACCTTAAGCCACAAGGGCTTGTATTCTTACAAACACCCCGTGGCATTGTGGCTCAATTTCTAAACATTTTACCCAAAAAAAATCCACATGGTTTTTTTTTGTCAAATATCCACAAAATAGTGGTATCGTGGATGCATGCCGTTGCGCGATGGTTTACGAGCACATTGGACTTGCAATCCAGAGGTTGCCGGTTCAATCTCCTGGCGCGGCAGTGAAAGCAATGGGCAACTTTTATTAATTTATTTAAAACCCTGCTTCTCCCACTCCCCCACCTCTGTGAAGCCAGCATCAGCAATGTGTCCGCCACATTTGCTTTATTGGCAGGTCACGTGTGTGACGAGGTGATTGTGGGTTACTCCTCCCGCCTCTTCCAAAATGCCTGGCCAGCGTGGAGAAGTAGGCCAAAATACACCGCCCCCCCCGAGGGGATTTTTCGAGCACCATTCCGGTTGAGATCCTTCCACCGGCAGTGACGTGAGGCGGGAATTGCAGGGCTGCTCCTTTAACTTCACCTAGGTTGAATGACATCACCGTGGATGCTCGCAAACAATTGCACCGACTTGTTTAAAAGGAAGCGCTCGCGTTTAATCAATGAATCGCGGCGGAGGATGGATAAGGAAGTCAGGTGAAAACTTGTTTTAATGTTGCGTGAAATGTGTAAAACGTATTATTCTATTGCTCTGGGTTTAACAAATTGCTTCGCTTCCAGAAAAAATATTTAAAATATGTTCCTACAAAAACCTATGACTGAACACATTTTGCTGAAGACACTTAATTTTGAGAATGTATACGTATGAAGTTGTATTTTTTACGGATCCCCAACACATTTTTTTCCCACAGGTCATGCCAATGAACCTTTGATTTTTAAAAATATATATGAAAATATAACGTTACAACTGCGAATGGCCAACTTTGCTGTGAATTGAGAAATTACAACATTAATTCGCTTTGCTAATGTGCTCATTCATCTTGTTACAAAAAAAAACGTGAAATAGATATGACGTAATGTTCTCATGGAACATGCAAAACGAGTACAAAGGTAGCCTCAACCATTGCAGAGGATACTGCGGAATGCCGATGCAGCATTGCAACTCTTGCACGCGAATATGTGTGCCAAATATACCACTCTAATACACTTTTCAAATATACCGCTCTGTAACGCTATAAAAAAATGGGCATGAACAATGTGCAATTCAGTGTTACATCCCATAAGCAAGGGTGTAAGTTAAATAATGAACGTATTGAATTATAAAAAATGGGCGTCCTCAATTACCGTTTTCATGTTCCCATAAACACAACAACGTGATGTCACCGTGTCAAAATACGAGTCGAGTTTGAGTCTAGAAATGTTGCACGCTGGCGCAGAAGAAGCACAATTGCGGCAGCAAATGCTGCCATCTGGTGCCACTGCTACTTTGACAGGCCAATGCCAGCCAAGGGTGTTGTCGCACCTTATTAAATGACTCCTCTCTCTCGCCTATCAACTGCAAACGGTACGAGTCATCGCGGGATGGCGCGTGTGTGGGTTTTGTTGTTATTGTTGCTGCTATTTGCGAGGGTTTCGACAAAAAAAACTAAACTGTTTTCGGCGTTAAAGTCACGTAGAAAGAAATTAAATAATAATAGAATACGGCGTTTCGATTGCAACACAAGCAACCATCATCAGGTACAAATGAATGAGAAAACAAACATAGTAAACTTGGAAATAGAATGCAATACAACACAAAGAGTCGGCCAACACAACAGTCAACATCCAACCTGGTTCATTACATTATTTGTATCTGTGTGAGTCTCTCTTTGCTTGTGTGTCTGTCTGTGTGTCTCCGTGTCTATGTTTTGTCTCTCTCTCAAATGTAGCAATCTTTGGAAGAACGTTAATCAACCAGGTGGGGTGTTGACTTTTGAGTTAGCCGACTCGCTGTGTTGTATTGCATTCTATTTACAAGTTTACTGTTTGTTTTCTCATTAATTTGTACCTGATGACGGTTGCTTGTGTTGCAATCGAAACGTCGTATTCTATTATTTAATTAATTTAAAGTGAATTTACCGAAAGAACCAAAGATTAATTCCTGCAGTCACGAAAGCTTCGAATCTAGTCTTTCTTTACGGCGTGTAAGTCCCCGGCGCCACACGCACGCACGCTCGCCTGTCGAGTCGTAAGAGGGGCGTTTGGATATCCGAGAAGATCTACGGAGCGAGGGGGGGGAGGCTGTGTGAGCAAAACGCCAGACGCTGCATCCACTCACGGATGCGTGAGTGAGCCGCACGCGTAAATAGTCCGCGTGTGAATGGAAACGCGTCGGTGAAAGCGCGCGATTGTGAACACGGCCCTCTTTAATTTATGCGCAATTATTAAAGCACAAAAATATACTTCACTGTTCAGGCATAATGTACGGAAGCCAGTGGCCAATATTACCGTAATCTCCAGGTTAGAAGATGCACATTCTTGTCCTGTGTTTTAAAGCATACATTTTGAAGCATGCCGTGCCATCCGGTAGGTTTGTGTGTGTGTATGAGACCAGATTTTTATACGTTTATTGACACCGGGCACACGTTTTTGGGTACGTCTTTACTTTCCCGAGCGCCTTATAATCCGAAGAATACGGTACAAGCCAAAGAGCTGTCTTGAGCCGTGACGAAGAACGACTTACAGGTCACAGACAGTAAGTATGAATAACTGCCCTCAGAGGCATTGCCAGAGTGGATGAGTTTCTCATCATCATGGCTTAATGCCTGGCGGTATCATCAGCGAGTAGTTTCACTCACTTTATCAGCGTCC